GCCTCTGGTTCCAGATTTTCATCTTTTGCTCCCCGGGCTGACTTGAAGAATTCCAAGATAGCTTACGTCTCCGCCTCGGCCTGCCCCCATGGCTTCAATTTCCCTAACATTTTTCTCTACCCGGTATGTTTCCCTAACTTTTCTTCCAACAACAATATTACCCTCTCATTTCTCCCGGCTTCTCCCCACAGTCCGCATCCGAGTCCAAGCCTCCTCCAGGTTTCACTTTCGCTTTCAATCTCCTAGCTTCCCCGCCATAGTCCGCATCCGAGTCTATGAAAGCTTTCACTTTCGCTTTCAATCCTAACTTCTTTCCCACAGTCCATATCTGAGTCTATGCCTACGCTTTCGATAGCTTCTTCCGGCACCTTTTCCGTCCGGCTTTCCCCTAGGCTCTTTGCTAGTCTCTCCGGTATTTTCCCACTTCTTCCCGTTTCTTCCCTCCTAAGTTTCCTATCCGAGTCACGGCACCATTATGTCGCTCCCCGTCTTTGTGGAGGAACGACACTAAACCCTGCCTAGGCTTCATATCCGAGTCACAGCACCATTATGTTGCTCCCCGTCTTCGTGGAGGAACGACACAGGACCCTGCACTGTTCTTTTGTCTGCTCAGCCCTTCCCGGGTTTGCTGCTGGTTCTTCCCGTGTTGGCTACCATCCCTTCCACCTCCGTGGAGGGGCGGGCCCCCAGCCACTTTCCCCACTTCCGCGGGGGAGCGGCACACCACTGGCTGGCTCTCTCGGGGGCTGCACAGGTGTTCCTTCAGATAGATGTTCCTGGTGCATGTTGTCTCTCTCCTCCTTTATAGTCCTCTTCCACCAATCCCAACTCTGCTACCCACACGCCGAGTACGCTGCTCTCCTCCAATCAGGAGCAGGTCCTACAGTTTATTGGTTGAACTGGAGGCAGCTGTGTAGAAGCTGTTTCTCCCTTCTCAGCGCCATATTGTGGGAGAGCAGATGCATAGAATAAGTCTTAATTCCGGTAACTTAGTCTAGTCCGAGTTGCTCCCAGTTGCTCCCCACAGAGACCAAAACAAACCTGAGGTCACCAGGGATTGGGTTGGGGCTGGGGGCAGGTAAATGCAGGTTTATTTTTTTTTAACTTTTATTTAGTAAATATAAATTTCCAAAGTACATCTTACGGATTACAATGGTTTTTTCCCCTCCATACCTTCCCTCCCACCCGCAACCCTCCCAACTCCCGCTCCCTCTCCCATTTCATTCACTTCAAGATTCATTTTTAATTCTCTTTATATACAGAAGATCAATTTAGTATATATTAAGTAAAGATTTCAACAGTTTGCACCCACACAGAACATAAAGTGTAAAATACTGTTTGAGTACTAATTCTAGCATTAATTCACATTGAACAACACATTAAGGACAGAGCTCCTACATGGGGAGTAATTGCACAGTGACTCCTGTTGTTGACTTAACAAATTGACACTCTTGTTTATGGTGTCAGTAATCTCCCTAGGCTCTTGTCATGAGTTGCCAAGGCTATGGAAGCCTTTTGAGTTCGAGGACATCGATCTTATTTAGGTCATAGTCAAAGTGGAAGTTCTCTCCTCCCTTCAGAGAAAGGTATCGATGGCCTGTTCTTTCTACTGGGATCTCACTTGCAGAGATCTGTCATTTAGGTGTTTTTTTTGTTTGTTTGTTTTGTTTTGTTTTGTTTTGTTTTTTTTTTGCCAGAGTGTCTTGGCTTTCCATGCCTAATGTCTAAAATACTCTCATGGGCTCTTCAGCCAGATTCGAATGCCTTAAGGGCTGATTCTGAGGCCAGAGTGCTGTTTAGGACATCTGCCATTCTACGAGTCTGCTATGTATCCCGCTTCCCATGTTGGATCATTCTCTCCCTTTTTTACTCTATTGGTTAGTATTTTCAGACACTAGTCTTGTTTATGTGATCCCTTTGACTCTTAGACCTATCAGTATGATCAACTGTGAACTGAAATTGATCACTTTGACTAGTGAGATGGCATTGGTATATGCCACCTTGTTGGGACTGAATTGGAATCCCCTGGCACATTTCTAACTCTACCATTTGGGGCAAGTCAGCTTGAGCATGTCCAAAATTGTACATCTCCTCCCTCTCTTATTCCCACTCTTATATTTAACAGAGATCACTTTTCAGTTAATTTTAAACACCTAAGAATAATTGTGTGTTAATTACAGAGTTCAACCAATGGTATTAAGTAGAACAAAAAAAAATACTAAAAGGGATAAAGTATTAAGTTGTACATCAACAGTCAGGACAAGGATTCATCAAGTCACTGTTTCTCATAGTGTCCATTTCACTTCAACAGGTTCCCTTTTTGGTGCTTGGTTAGTTGTCACCGATCAGGGAGAACATACTATTTTTGTCCCTCTGGGACTGGCTGTTTAATAGGTTCAGAGTTTCCATCTAGGGCAATGAAAAGTTGGCTTTTTTAAGTTTTTATTTTATTTATTTGAGTGGTAGAGTTACAGACAGAGGGAGAGAAGGAGAGAAAGGTTTCCCATCCACTGTTTCACTCCCCAGATGGCTGTAAATGCTGCAGCTGAGTAATCTGAAGCTAGGAGCTTCTTTTGGCTTTTCCATGTGGGTGCAGGGGCTCAAGGACTTGGGCCATCTTCCACTGCTTCCCCATACCATTAGCAGGGAGCTGGATAGGAAGTGCAGCAGCTGGGACTCGAACTGGCACCCACAGGTGGAGGCTGAGCCTTTTATGCCACAGCACCAACCCCAAGCAATGAAGTTTTGGAAACGTGGTGATGGCTGCACAATATTATAAGTAAAATTAATGGTGTTGAATTGTTTGCTTAAAATTTCCTAAAATGGTAATTTTGGCTACATATATTTTATTGCAATAAAAAACAAAAAGTCAGCCTTAAATAACATTTTCATGACTGAAAACACGAATAATTCTCTTACGTGTATTTTGAGGCCATTGTCATCGATAATGAAATCCTGTCTTTTGCAAATAAAAAATGAATGCAACTGGAGATCATTATGCTTAGTGAGATGAGCCAGACTCACAAACATCATATGTTTTCTCTGATGTATGGTAGCTTATATATAGAATACAAAAAAAAAACCCTAAATGTATAAGGATAAAATTGACAGTTTATCATCTGATGGTCATTTACAACCCTTGTCTATATTCCTGTGGAACAGTGGTCTTTCTACATTTTACTGCTGAACACTATATTCAGTGGAGTATTAAGCCTGTGATTATAAAGTAAATTAGAAGTATGCTATGGCAAAAATTAAAAGAAAAAAAAGGAGGAGGGAGGGAGGTTTCCTTAAGTTCTCAGATTGTATCTTTGAAATAAATGAAATTGGCTGGCGCTGCGGCTCACTAGGCTAATCCTCTGCCTTGCGGTGCTGGCACACCAGGTTCTAGTCCCGGTCAGGGCGCCAGTTCTGTCCCGGTTGCCCCTCTTCCATGCCAGCTCTCTGCTGTGGCCAGGGAGTGCAGTGGAGGATGGCCCAAGTGCTTGGGCCCTGCACCCCATGGGAGACCAGGAGAAGTACCTGGCTCCTGCCATCGGATCAGCGCGGTGCGCCGGCCACGACGGCCATTGGAGGGTGAACCAAAGGCAAAGGAAGACCTTTCTCTCTATCTCTCTCTCTCACTGTCGACTCTGCATGTCATAAAAAAATACATGAAATATGTTCTTTTTTAACAATAAAAAATATATTTTAAAAGAAAAATGAAGAAACAGATCAAATAACTGGTGACTTACAGAGGCTCACCCAGCAGTGCAGGACTCCAAGACTGATGATGTCGTCACATGTCAAAGATGCAGAACTGCTTCCCCGCTGGGGCCCCACAGCCTTTCAATATCTCAGAGCACCCAAGGGCAGCCAGTGCCCCATAGATGGATGTCTCAAAAATGTCATTTTAAAGCACTTACCGTCGAGTTTGCTTCATTTCCCAAGGTAATCCTGATTCTGCTGGTGTCTGCTTAAAAAGAAAAAGGTGGGCAGAGAAACACAGGAAGAATCACCTGATGAGTTCCCTAATGGGATCAGCACAAAGCTTGAGAGACAAGTGAGGTTCTTCAAGGCAAGGAACCTGGGGCCGGTGCTGTGGTGTAGTGGGTTAAAGCCCTAACATGCAGCGCCGGCATCCCATATGGGTGCTGGTTCAAGTTCCGGCTGCTCCACTTCTGATCCCGCTCTCTGCTATGGCCTGGGATAGCAGTGGAGGATGGCCCAAGTCCTTGGGCTCCTGCACCCACGTGGGAGACCTGGAAGAATCTCCTGGCTTCAGCTCAGCTCTGGCTGTTGCAGTCATTTAGGGAATGAACCAGTGAAATGGAAGATCTCTCTCTCACTCTCTCTTCTGCCTCTCCTTCTCTGTGTAACTCTTTCAAATAAATAAAATAATTATTAAAAAAAAACTTGAAGAGGGATTCCAGGCTTTAATCACACAATAACACACTCCACGTGTTCAAAGAAGCTATTTCTGTTGTTAATTCCTGATGTTAAACTCTGAAAGTTTAGAGACATCTCCATTCACTTAGGTCTCTGTCTCTCTCTCCCTCTCCCTCTCTCTGTCACCTTGCCTTTCAAATAAACAAATCTTTAAAAAAAACATAAAAATAAAAAATTGCTATTGTGCGGCAGGCATTTGGCCTAGCAGTTAGGACATCAGCTAGGATGCCTGCATCCCGCATCAGAATGCTTGAGTTCAATTCCCATCTTGGGCGCCTGATTCCACTTCCTGTGAAGGTGCACCTGGGTTCCTGACACCTAAGCAGGACACCTGGACTGTGTTCCTGGCTCCCAGCTGTGGCCTGGCCCAGACCTGGCTCTTGCGGGCATTTGGGGAGTGAACCAGCAGATGAAAGATCTGTCGGTCTCTACCTCTCTTTCTGCCTTTGAAATAAATGAAACTAAATTGAAAAAACATTTCCAGAATTCTTACCCTTTTTTCTTTGTGCATTATGCTTAGACTTTTTGGTTTCTTCTAGTATCTGTTCACCATATTCTGAGATGATCTGAAAATTAAAGTTGGGAATTTATATACATCTCTTTAGACACTGCTGTAATGTTATTTAATTATCAACAATCTTCAGCACAATAATACTTAAGTTGAAAAATAAAAAATAACATTTAAGAATACATGTAGTTAGGCAGAGAGATAAATATAGACATTTGTATATTATTTATATATAAAATAAGTAAATTTATACATATAAATAAAGACCTGTACGATTACACAAGCCACAGCTGAGCTTACACTTGGAAACAGTATTGTGGGATGAAGAAGAAAAGGGAAGGAAGCATTAACATTTTTTATTTTATTTTATTTTATTTGACAAGCAGAGTTAGACAGTGAGAGAGAGACAGAGAGAAAGGTCTTCCTTCTGTTGGTTCACCCCCAAAATGGCCGCCACAGCCAGCACACTGCACCAATCTGAAGCCAGGAGCCAGGTGCTTCCTCCTGGTCTCCCATGGGGGTGCAGGGGCCCAAGCACCTGGGCTATCTTCCACTGCTTTCCCAGGTGCATTAGCAAGGAGCTGGATTGCAAGTGGAGCATCTGGGACACAAACCAGTGCCCATATGGAATGCCAGCATTGTAGATGGAGGCTTTACCTGCAACACCACAACACCAGCCCCAAAATGGCACCACAGAAGGTTTATGGAAGGGGCAGCATTGTGGTGTAGTGGGTTGAGCAATTGCCTGCAGTGCCAGCATCCCATGTGAGCACCAGTTCAAGTCCTGGCTGCTCAACTTCCAATCCATTTCCCTGCTAATAGCCTGGGAAAACAGCAGAAGATGGCCCAAATGCTTGGACCCAGCACCCATGTGAGAGAAACTCCTGGCTCCTGGCTTCGGTCTTGTTTAGCCCTGTGTGTCATTTGGGAAGTGAACCAGTGCATGGAAGATCTCTTTCTCTCTCTCCCTCTCTATAACTCTGCCTTTCAAATAGATAAATCTTTTTTAAAAGTTCATGAAAAATGGAGTTATAATTAATTTAATAGAAGACAATTTTGAGTTTCATGCACAGCTTTTTCATAGCATTTATTTTTTTTTTAGTTTTTTGAAGACCCTCATATATGTGGATTTCACAATTTATATGTACCTTTATGGTATTTTTATATGAATATATGAAACTTTTAATTCCATTCTCCAAAACTTTTTTTTTGATAGACAGAGTTAGACAGAGAGAGAGACAGAGAGAAAGGTCTTCCTTTTCTGTTGGGTCACCCCCCCGAAATGGCCACTACGCTGGCGCACTGTACCTTTCCGAAGCCAGGAGCCAGGTGCTTCTCCTGGTCTCCCATGGGATGCAGGGCCCAAGGACCTGGGCCATCCTCCACTGCACTCCCGGGCCATAGCAGAGAGCTGGACTGGAAGAGGAGCAACTGGAACAGGATCTGGCACCCCAACCAGGACTCAAACCCGGTGTGCCAGGGCCGCACTGTAGGTTAAAAGTTTAAAAGTACTCTTGCAAGTGTGTTGACAAGATAACAAGCCCTGGAAACCTGTTCACAGCTGATCCAACAGGCGTCCTACCTCAGGGGGGAAGCACTTCCCCAGGAGCGGAGCTAGGCTGCCTCTGCACAGGAGCGCCGAGGCTGAAGGGCAGTGCAGGGGATTCCTCTTAAACATCTGCTTGATTAGAAACTGCAGCTCGTAGGAGTAATGGGAAGGCAGTGGCCTGATGGAACCTCCACATATTTTGAGGATGAGACTTTTCCAACTATTTGCCTGAAACTAGAAAGTAAAAATGGAACTTGAAAAGCAGAAACAGGGAAAGAAAAAGGAAATTAGAAAATACCAACTGAATTGAATTCATATAAACTATTTTAATTTTATAAATGTACCTCAGGCTGGGTCATTTTTCTTTCCAGAAGTTTCCTTAAGATATTTGTTGTGGCAAAACATGTCAAGCTACTGCTTGTGATGTTGGCATCCCATATGAGTGCCGGTTCAAGTCTCAGCTGCTCCACTTCCAATCCAGCTCTCTGCTTATGGCCTGAGAGAGCAGTGGAAGATGGCCCAAGTGCTTGGGTCCCTGCACCCATGTGGGAGACCCAGAAGAAGCTCCTGGCTCCAGAATTCAGCCTGCCCCAGCCCAGACAATTGCAGCCATTTCGGAGTGAACCAGTGGATAGAACACCTCTCTCTCTCTCTGTCTCTACCTCTCTCTAACTCTTATTTTAAATAAATAAAATAAATATTTCCTTAAAATAAAGGTACTATTCTATAGGGAGCAGCTGTTTAGCCTAGTGGTTAAGGCACCTGCATCCCAAACCAGAGTGCCTCAGCTGGACACCTACTCTGGTTCCTGACTCCAATTTCCTGCTAAAGCAGACCCTGGGAGTCAGAGGTGATGGCTCAAGAAATCGGGCTCCTGCCACCCACTTGGGAGACCTGGATTGAGTTCCCAGTTACCAGTCCTGGCTACTGCAGGCATTTGGGGAGTGAGCCAGTGGATGCAAGCTCTTTCTATCTCTCATATAAATACATAAAATTTAAAAAGATAATATTCTATAACCTTATGGTGGTTCAGCAGAAAGTCAGCATGAACAATAAGAAACTTGCCTGCCTTGCATACTTTTAAAGTCAACATCAATGTTGTTACAAATAAACATTTTAACATAAAATCACAATAATACATATGACTTTTTTAAAAAATCAAATGATACAGAAGACTCACAATATGCATAATATTCTTTTGCTCCATTCTTCCCCAGAAACCCCAAGACTTATACTATAACAACATGTACTTTAGGCTTTTCCAGATTTAAACTACTACTGTAAAATCCTTCTTAACATTCATGCCATTAAAGAAGTTATTGAAGTTTGACAAGTAAAAGAGTGGGGATATAAAATAACACAGTGGAATAACATGCTAAAAGTTTTCCATGTGTAATATATTTATTGGAACCAACATTATCCGTCAGCCTTGCTAATGCTCATATAAGAACATGTTGGTACTCTATCTTGAAAGTGTATTGCCTTATTAATTAAAAAAAGTGAAGACATGAAAAAAACCCAACCTATAACAAAGGAAACTTCAGATAATGAAAAATAAAATTGAATCTGCTTGGCCTCAGGCTTTTAAACAATAATACTGCATTTCTACATTTCCTAAAGGTTTGGGAACAACTGTTTTTAAAAATATATTTATTTATGGGGGCTGGTGCTGTGGCTTAGTAGGTTAAGCCTCTGCCCGCGGTGCTGCCATCCCATATGGGCACTAACTGGGGTCCCAGCTGTTCTGCTTCCAATCCAGCTCCCTAATTATGGCCTAGGAGAGTGTTGGAGGAGGGCCCAGGTCCTTGGGCCCCTGCACTTAAAAGTATATATTTATGGGCCAGTGCCATGGCTCACTTGGTTAATCCTCCGCCTGCAGCACCAGCATCCCATATGGGTGCCGGGTTGTGGTCCTAATTGCTCCTCTTCCAGTCCAGCTCTCTGCTGTGGCCCAGGACGGCAGTGGAGGATGGTCCAAGTGCTTGGGCCCCTGCAACCGCATGGAGACCAGGAGAAGCACCTGGCTCCTGACTTCGGATCAGTGCAGCACCAGCCATAGCAGCCGTTTGGGGGGTGAACCAACAGAAGGAAGACCTTTCTCTCTTTCTCTCTTTCTCATTGTCTAGCTCTACCTGTCAAAAAAATGTATATATTTATTTATTATTTTTATTTGAAAGGCAGAGATAGAGAGAGATCGTCCATTGCTGGTTCATTCCCCAAATGCCCATAAAAGCTAGGGCTGGGCCAGGCTGAATCTAGCAGCCTGGAACTCTAATCTGAGTCTCCCACATGGGTGGTAGGGCCCCAACTACTTGAGTTATCACCCACTGCCTTCCAGGGTGGGCATTAGCCACAAACCCAGGCATTCCAGTATGGGATGTGGGTATCTCAAGCAGCATCTTAGCCACTGCAACAGCATCTGACCCTAAAAATACAAAAACTTTGGCATAAAGCAGAGAAGAGATGAAAGACTGTGTGCCAAAGAATCTGGGCACTGTAGTCCTCCCTGTGTATTCTTGCTAGGAAGAAGAACAAGTATATTTAAGCTTATGAAAAACATTTCTAAAATATTCATGATGTTAAAATTAAATAATTTTATTTGTATATAACAGTGTTTCTCAACATAAGCTGTACATCAGAATCACCTGTGGGTTTTTTTTTATGATTTCTTTATTTTATTTGAAAGGCAGACTTACAAAGCGAGAAAGGGGGGGAAGAGAGAAAGAAAGAGGGAGGGAGGGAGGGAGAGAGGGGGGAGAGAGAGATAGAGATAGAGAGAGAGAGCGAGAGATGACTGATCTTCCATTTGTTTGTTCACTCCCCAAATGGCGCAACAGCCAGGGCAGGACCAGGCTGAAAACAGGAGACAAGAGCTTTATCTGGGTCTCCCATGTGGGTGCAGGGCCCCAAGGACTTGGGCCAACTTCCAGGCTTTCCCAGGCATATTAGCAGGGAGCTGGATTGGAATTGGAGCCACTGAGACTCAAAGAGGTGCCCACGTGTGCTGCTGGCTGGCATCATAGGCTGCGGTTTTACTCACTACACCTCAGCACCAGACCCAGAATAACCTCTTAAAAATATTAATGTCCAGGACACCTTCAGAGTTAGTGTGGGCCCAGGCAGCAGCATTCTCACAGGTTCCCCACCGCGTTCTAACTGGACGGGCAGCATGACAAGCCGCTTGTTCAAACAGATGCCCTCTCCTGAACAGCACAGACCTTCACTTTGCATTACCTTCCTCTGGTGGTGCTGAGGGATTTTTCTCAGCCATTCCCTCTACTGAGCTCTGTGTGCAGTCAAGCACATCTGTGTAAAAGCTTGGTAGAGCTCATTTTCAATTCATGCCCAAAGAACAGAATTTATTTTCATGCAAAGCAACGACTTAATGGAAATCCATTCTACAATTGCTGTTCTTTGCAATAAACTACTGCTAAACAGAAAGGACAAAGTATTTACCATCTATTTTGTTGAATTATTTTTTAAAATATTTAGAAAAACACAACACAATGTTGCAAAGTCTATTTTCTCGTATTTCAGTTACAGAGGAAACACACATGATAAGTAAAATCTAATTTCAAAAAGATTGGTATAAAAATGGTACAGCCATTCTGGAAACGTTTGGCCATTCTTCCGAAAGCTAAACATATAATTATCGTATTATACAGTGATTCCACTCTTGGATATACACCTCAAAAACTGCAATCAGAGAGTTTGACAGACACTTGCTCTCGTGTTCATAGCAGCATTATCCTCAAGAGTCAAAAAGTAGAAACACCCCAACTCCAGTGTCCACAGACACTGTATACTGTATACACACAATGGAATATTATTCAGCCACAAAACGGAATGGAATTCTGATACATGTTCAACAAGGATGATGAGCTTTGAAAACATTATGCTAAGTGGAATAAACAAGACATAAAAGACAACTATTTTATCACCTCACTTACATGAAATATCTAGAATATGCGATTCATAGAGACAGAGAGTAGACTAGAGACCAGGAGCTGGGGGAGAGAGGAACAAGGAGTAATTATTTAATGGGTGTAAAGTTTCTGTTTGGGATGGTGAAGAAGTTTAACAGTGAAGTATTATTGATGATTGTGCAATATTTACAATATAGTTAATGCCACTGAATTATACACATAAAAATGGTTAAAATTGCAAATTGTATATTATATATATATATATATTTTTTTTACCAAAAATCTTAAAAATTTAAGAACACTATGGAAAGAAGAAGGAAAGACAAACTACATATAGAACAACAGAAATGAAATAACAGACATTTCCTATTGGTATACATCACAAAAGTGGCTCTAGGCAAAGAAGACAATAATGACAACATAGGAAAACTTTTTCATAATGAATTCATCCTAGGTAAGTGAACTGCCAGCTGGAATTTTCTACATTGCTTAGGACCTCACCAGAGATAACCACAACCTTCCAGTTACGTTTTGTGCACCATACTTACCGGATGCTTAAGGGTACAGAGTTCATACAGAATGCATCCTAAGGACCAGATGTCACTGGAAACGTAGAGGAAGCAACATATCAGTAAGTAGGTTATGAGTTATTACACGAAAACAGATGCAGATGCATTTTTAAATTAAAAAATGAAAAATTATCCTACTTTTAGTAAGAATAGGCATATTATAAGCAATTCCTAGGTATTTAAAGAAGACATATAGTAATTTTGGTTTAATACTTAGATACTAAGAATAATGATCACAATAAAATTCTCTGCTCCCCAACTTGTACCACTCCCAATCAGGGTGGTTCAGATACCATTTCTTTTTCTTTTTTTTACTTTGACAAGCAGAGTGGACAGTGAGAGAGAGAGAGACAGAGAGAAAGGTCTTCCTTTGCCTTTGGTTCACCCTCCAATGGCTGCCGCGGGCCACAGCCCGCCGGCACACCGCGCTGATCCGAAGCCAGGAGCCAGGTGCTTATCCTGGTTTCCCATGGGGTGCAGGGCCCAAGTACTTGGGCCATCCTCCACTGCACTCCCTGGCCACCGCAGTGAGCTGGCCTGGAAGAGGGGCAACTGGGATAGAATCTGGCGCCCCGACCGGGACTAGAACCCGGTGTACCGGCGCTGCAAGGCAGAGGATTAGCCTAGTGAGCCCCGGCGCTGGCTCAGATACCATTTCAACAGCATTAGGGAATTCAGGGGCAAAAGGAAGGAGTATCTGTGAACTGAGACTGTCAGAGCTGGAGGAGGGCCTTTAGAGGTTCCACCAGACCGCCACGTGCATGGCAGCCGGCCTAAGAGGGCAGCTCCTTGTGGACAGCTCTCTGCCATACGCAGCATAGTCTGTTGCCCTGCTGGCGGGCCTAAGGTAGCACCTCCTGCCTCACAGAAGCCAAATGTGTCCTCTGGCAACATTCTCCAGGCCTAGAGTCAGCTCATGCTCCAAGAGAAAGAGAACAAGACCACTCGTTCTTCCACAAAACAGCTCTTCAAACTCACCAGAGGCCTATGGGTGGTCCTGTGCCCGACTGCCTCATGCCAAGCATCTCAGTTCTCCTCCAGCAGCCTCACTGCCCAGTTGTCATCCTCCAGGCTTTTTCTCAATGACACTCTTGTTATTATTATTTTTAAGATGTATTTATTCATTTGAAAGGCAGAGTTACAGAGAGAGAGAGAGAGAGAGAGAGACAGACAGAGATCTTCCACCTGCTGGTTCACTCCCCAAATGCCTGTAGCAGCCAGGGCTGGGACAGGCTGAAGCCAGGAGCCAGGAACTTCCTCCTGGTTTCCCATGTGGATAGCAGGGGCTCAAGAAATTAGGCTGTCAGCAGCTGTCTTCCCCAGCACAGGAAGCTGGATCGGAAGTAAAGCACTCAGGATTCAGAAATGGGATGCTGACGTCATCAGCTGCAGCTTAACCTGCTGCACCACAATTCCACTGGGACATTCCTTTTATTTTATGTTTTATTTTAACTAATTGTTTCCCTCGATTTTACTTTTTTAAAATTTCAAGCCTACAGGAGTTACAAATGCCCACATGCTCTCAGTCAGGTTCCCCAATGGTTAATGTGGGGAGCAACTGGGAGCAACTCGGACTAGACTAAGTTACTGGAATTAAGACTTATTCTATGCATCTGCTCTCCCACAATATGGCGCTGGGAGAGGAGGAAACAGCTTCTACACAGCTGCCTCCAGTTCAACCAATAAACAGCAGGACCTGCTCCTGATTGGAGGAGAGCAGCGTACTCGGCGCCTCAAGGCAGCTGAGTTGGGATTGGCGGAAGAGGACTATAAAGGAGGAGAGAGACAACATGCACCAGGAACATCTATGGGGAACATCTAGCTGAAGGAACACCCGTGCAACCCCCGAGAAGAGCCGGCCGGCGGTGTGCCGCTCCCCTGCGGAAGTGGGGAATGTGGCCAGGGGGAACTGCCCTTCCACGGAGGTGGAAGGGATAGTAGCCAACCCGGGAAGAACCAGCAGCAAACCCGGGGAGGGCCGAGCAGACGAAAGAACAGCGCAGGGTCCTGTGTCGTTCCTCCACGAAGAGGGGGAGCGACATAATGGTGCCGTGACTCGGATAGGAAACCTAGGACGGATATGAAACTTGGAAGAAATGACTCGGATAGGAAACCTAGGACGGATAGGAAACTTAGGAGGGAAGAAACGGGAAGAAGCAGGAAAATACCGGAGAGAGAGACTAGCGAAGAGCCTAGGGGAAAGCCGGACGAGAAAGGTGCCGGAAGAAGCTATTGAAAGCCTAGGCATAGACTTGGATATGGACTGTGGGAAAGAAGTTAGGATTGAAAGCGAAAGTGAAAGCTTTCATAGACTCGGATGCGGACTATGGCGGGGAAGCTAGGAGATTGAAAGCGAAAGTGAAACCTGGAGGAGGCTTGGACTCGGATATGGACTGTGGGAAAGAAGTTAGGATTTAAAGTGAAAGCAAGAAGAAACTTAGATACGGACTGCAGGTTGAAAGTGAAAGTGAAACCTATAAGAAACTTAGACTTGGATACGGACTGTGGGGAGAAGCCAGGAGAAATGAGTGTTAGGGAGGATGAAGCCGCGAGTGCAGGCCGAGGCGGAGATATAAGCCACCTTGGAGTTCTTCAAGTCACCCCGGGGAGCAAGAGGCGAAGATCTGGAACCAGAGACGTGGGCCGCCAGGTTGGAATTCGCCAGGTTAGTCCGGGGAACTTGGACTGAATGCCGGTGGTGGCGGAAACATTCGCGGAAGCCGCCGCGTGCAGAGAGAGCACAGGGCGTGAATAGATAGGGAACGGGGCTGGCGCGAGGCCGTGGTGCAGACGCGAAGGGCGTGGAGACCGCGGGGCGCGCGAAGCCAAGCCGCGCAAAGCGGAGCCGCGCAGATGAGAGAGGCTGAAGCGGCTCAGAGCCGGCGAGGCGCCGAGAAGCAGCCTCGGGGCGGGGCGAGGCGCCGGGAAGCCGCGCGGAGCCCTGAAGCTGCTGGCAGGGCGAGGCGCCGGGAAGCTGCGGGGATAAGAGAAACAGAAGTTTAGAAGTAAGATGAGAAAAATAGGAATGCTGGAAGATAGAAGTAAAATGGGAGAAATAGGAATGCCCGGAGATAGAGAAATAGAGAAATAGAGAAATAGAAAGGCCTCCCTACAACACTGCAATGTGAGAGCTTGGATTCGGTCTGCCTGATTAAGTGAGGCGATGAGCACCTGGGCGGCTAGCAGCTTATGCGCCGCAGGTCACCGAAGACAGGCACGAATTAACATCAGTAAGGCTTCCCCACAATACCGCAATTAGAAGGCTTGGATTCGGTTTGCCTGATTAGGCGATAAGCACCAGCAGGCAGCTCGACCAGAGTATGAGCTGCAGGTCACCGAAGATAGGCACGAATCAACACCAATAAGCCTCCCCACAATATGGCAATGAGAAGGCTTGGATTCGGTTTGCCTGATTGGTAGGGCTTGTAAGCACCTGCAGGCAGTTCTAGCAGAGCAGAGCATGTGCTGCAGGGCACCGAACACAGGCACACATCAGTGCCTAAAAACCTCACAACATGGCGAAGAGAGGACCCGGATTTGGTTTGCCTGATTGGTAGGGCGTGTAAGCACCTGTGGGCAACTCTAGCAAGCAGAGCAGAGTGTGTGCTGCAGGGCACCAAAGACAGGCGCGTATCAATGCCAAAAATAAAAAGAAAGGGGGATCTGTGGGGAGCAACTGGGAGCAACTCGGACTAGACTAAGTTACTGGAATTAAGACTTATTCTATGCATCTGCTCTCCCACAATATGGCGCTGGGAGAGGAGGAAACAGCTTCTACACAGCTGCCTCCAGTTCAACCAATAAACAGCAGGACCTGCTCCTGATTGGAGGAGAGCAGCGTACTCGGCGTGTGGGCAGCTGAGTTGGGATTGGCGGAAGAGGACTATAAAGGAGGAGAGAGACAACATGCACCAGGAACATCTAGCTGAAGGAACACCCGTGCAACCCCCGAGAAGAGCCGGCCGGCGGTGTGCCGCTCCCCTGCGGAAGTGGGGAATGTGGCCAGGGGGAACTGCCCTTCCACGGAGGTGGAAGGGATAGTAGCCAACCCGGGAAGAACCAGCAGCAAACCCGGGGAGGGCCGAGCAGACGAAAGAACAGCGCAGGGTCCTGTGTCGTTCCTCCACGAAGAGGGGGAGCGACAGTTAACATCTGCCACACTTGCATGCTATCTCCCTCTATGTATCTCTGAACCCCTGGAGAAAAGGCTGCAGGTATCAAACACTCACCCCAAACACTCCAGTGTGTACCTCCCAAGAGCAAGGACACACTCTCCCTCATAAACATGCACCATTATCACCCGCAAGCAGAGAACTCAATTATATAGTCTAGTATTTAGTCCAAACTCCAGTCTCCCAATAAATCCCTTGAGGGGTGTTTTGCTCCCAATATAGTCAATTCTACTTTGAAATGAACCTATTTAGTATAGATTGTGTACCCTTTTCAGAAAGCCACTTGGTAGAAAGTAATAAGAGCTTGCAGGTGCTTCTGTCTCTAGGAGTCCATGCCAAAAATACAATATAAGACAATGACATTTTTATGCACAAACAATAAGTTAATTGCAGCATGTTTACAATTCCAAAAACTGGAAACATAAGGGCAAGGACAGAGGAAAAGTTAAGTCAACTTTAGGAAAAGCCATAAAGTAAAATATATGAAGCCTTGATAAATATATAGGAATTTTGAATGTGTGGGGAAATTAATGTAAGGTAAAGTGAAAAAAAATCAGGATATCAAATTGTGTAGAGAATATATTGATTAGTGCTATGGGGAGAAAGGGGAAAACCCCACCAAAAGATTCTTAGTAGTAGTTGTGGAAAGCGGGTGGTTTCCATTTCCTTCTATGTCCAATCCTTTCTGCCTACTCATACCCACAACAGGCACATAGAACTTGTAATCAGAAAAAATACGGTTCTACTTTTTAAATATTTATTTATTTGAAAGGCAGAATAAGAGAGAGAGAGGGAGAGAGAGAGAGAGAGAGAGAGAGAGAGAATCTTCCATGCACTGGTTCACGCCCCAAATGCCCACAACTGTGGGCTAGGCTGAAGCTCGGAGCCTGGAGCCAGGAACTCCACATGGGTCTCATAGATGGGCAGCAGGGACTCAAGTACTGGGGCCATCATCTACTGCTTTCCCACGTTGCATTAGCTGAATTGGACGCAGAGTAGCCAAGACTTGAACCAGGCACTCTGATATTGTATGCAAGCAGTGGCCTCACCCACTGTGCCACAATACCCACCACAGTCTTAAATCATAAGGCCCTCAGATGAACTTTCAGCAATCAACTAACTTACCAACCAGGTGATTATTACCTAGTCCTGTAAATGTTAACTCAATGACATGATCTAGGGGTTCCCAAATGTTGCTGCATATTGGAATCTCTTGACAAATTGGTCATCTTGAAAAATTGCTGATGCTTGATTTCCATCCTCTGATATTCTGATTTAATTGGCATGGATGCAACCAGGGCTTTGGGATTTTTTAAAGTGGGAGTAGGACTGGCATTGTGGTGCAGCGTTAAGCTGCTGCTTGCAAAACCAGCATCCCACACTGGAGGGCCAGTTTGAGTACTGGTTGTTCCACATCTGATCCCACTTCCAGATGATGCAGGTACACAGCCCCAGTATTTGCACCCCTGCCATACATATGAGAGACCAGGACGGAGCTCCTGGCTCCTGTTTTTGTGTTTGTTTGATTGTTTAGTTTGTTTTAACATTCATTTATTTATTTGAAAGGCTGAGTTACAGAGAGGCAGAGGCAGAGAGAGAGAGAGAGGTCTTCCATCCACTGGTTCACTCCCCAAAAGGCCACAATGGCCAGAGCTGGGCCAATCCGAAGCCAGGAGCCAGGAGCTTCCTCTGGGTCTCCCACCTGGGTGCAGGGGCCCAAGGACCTGGGCCGTCTTCTACAGCTTTCCTAGATCATAGCAGAGAGCTGGATCAGAAGAGGAGCAGCCCCATATGGGATTCTGGCACAGCAGGCAGTGGCTTTTACTGGCTACACCAATGTTCCAGTCCCCTGGCTCCTGATTTTAGCTTGGCTCAGACCAGGCTGTTTCAGCCATTTGGAGAGTGAACCAGCAGAGGGAAGATCTGTATCTCACTATCTCTCTGCCTCTCAATAAAAATAAATACATTAAAAAAACATTTTAAAGTGGGGGCAGCAGACTGGCACTATGTCATAGAAAGTTAAGCCTCTGCCTGTGGTGCCAGCATCCCATATGGTCACCAGTCTGAGTCCTGGCTGCTCCACTTCCAATCCAACTTTCTGGGAGTGCATCTGGGAAAGCAGTGGAAGATGGCCTAGGCACCTGGAGCCCTGCACCCACATGGAAGACTCAGAAGCTCCAGGCTCCTGGCTTCAGCCTGGCCCAGCCCTAGCCATTGCAGACATTTGGGGAGTGAACCAGTAGATAGAAGATCTCTCTCTCTCTCTGACTCTGCCTTTCAAATTAATAAATAAATCTTTTAAAAGAATAATAAATAAATAAAGTTGGAGAAGCAAAGTATGGGAACCAGTAATATAATTCATATTGTTTTTAGAAAAAACTAACCTTTCTTCTGGCATTTATAATGAGCTCTTCTCAGCTCTGATTAAAACAGAAAACTATAACATATCTAGAAGCCAGAGAATATGGATTCCACAGTGCTTTCAGATATATATATATATATATATATATATATATATATATAGACAGGCAGAGTGGACAGTGAGAGGGAGAGACAGTGAGAAAGGTCTTCCTTTGCCATTGGTTCACCCTCCAATGGCTGCCGCGGCTTGCACGCTGTGGCTGGCGCACCGCGCTGATCCGCTGGCAGGAGCCAGGTACTTATCCTGGTCTCCCATGGGGTGCAGGGCCCAAGTACTCTGGCAATCCGTTATGGGATGTTAGCGTCCCAAGTGGCAGCTTAACCTGTTGTGCCATAATACCCACCCCTAATATTGTACTTAAAATAGCATCACATCCAGCTCCCTGATAATGCACCTGGGAAAGCATCAGAAGATGGCCCAAGTATTTGGGCCCTTGCACCCATGCAGGAGACTTGGAAGAAGCTCTGGGCTCCTGACTTTGGCCTGGCTCTAGCCCAGTCCCAGCTGTTGCAGCCATTTGTGGAGTGAACCAGCAGATGGAAGATTCTTCTCTCTCTCTCTTTCTCTCTCTCTCTCTCTTCTCTCTCTGTCTTTCAAATAAATAAAACAATAAACCTTTAAAAGCACAATAATTGAAAACATTTAATTATATTATTTAACATTAGTTAAAGGACAGGAAGGGAGGAGGAGGCACCATGGACTCCCAGATTTCTGGCATAAACTGGATGAATGGTGATGATATTCCTAGAGAGAAAAAAAGCATAATCAATGGTGGTGTGTCTAGCTTTTTCTTTGATTTTTCTGGTGGTAGGAGCATGGCAGAGGTGGGGCAGAATATGGGAGAAAGGAAAAATCCATTCCATTTTCGACAGGCTGAGCTAGAGGAGCCTGCAACTGGAATGAGTTGTGAAACACACTGACTTCAGACT